AGGCGGAACTCTTCCGTGCACCTGGGATCATAGAACATAAAATTTGGGTGTATTTCTTTAGCCAGGAGCCACAAGTGATGAGTACAGTTGCCCATAAAAACCAATGGCTATATGCAGATATATACCAGTACCTGCATGTACACCCCTGGATGTACTGTAGACAGTCAGCGTCCAAGCTTGTACATCTGTATGCACGTGTGTTTATGTAAGTACCTGTGTATACCCACGTACAGCCATTAATTTCCCTGGGCAGCTGTACAAAGCCCCTGTGGTTCCCAGTTGGGAAAATACACTCATACACCCCCAGGAACCTGTGTGCTGAGGTCTATAGGCAGGCCTTTTTTTCCAGTGGGAACATGAGGAAACCGGCACCTCCAGTACTGAACTGGGGTGTGCTGGAAGGTCTATTGATGCTGGCTGCTGGGTGATCTATTTTCACTGGAGGAGATCTATTTGTGTATGGTGATCTATTGTTGGTGGGGAGATTTATTGTTGCAGGTAGGGGGTCTATTGTTGCTGGGGGGGGTCAATTGTTGCTGGAAGGGATTTACTGGTTGCAGGAGGGGTCTATCGCTGCCTGCTGGAGAGTCTATTGATGCTGGCTGCTTGGAGACATATTGTTGCTGCTGTGGGTCTATTGCATGGTATTTTTTGCGGGGGTCCATTTTAGCTGTAAGAATCTATTGTTGCTGAGGGGGGGGGGGTTATTGCTGCTTGCTGCAGGGGATCTATTTTATTATTTATCTTGTTATTAACAAATTACTTAGCACCACAAAATTATACTTGGTTCTGTATTCTCTAAAAAGAGTGGCACTGGAGGTGGGTAGGGGGTGGAACTAATGGACGGTGATCGGAGGTGGGGGGGGGGGGGGGGCAGACAGAGACAAGAAGTGACTCAGAAGTGGGGAGTTACTGCACCTATTCTCTAGAAGCCCTGCCTATAGGTATCCACAAGCAAAAGGTATCCAATTATATCAGATGATAAATATGACCCCATTTATATATATATGAGATCAGCTTGATATCATTTTTACCGAATCATGTTCATGTTTTTTTTTTTTAAAAAACCTTGTTTTTACATGATCATATTTGTACACCTGGGCAGCTACCTGCGCTCATAACACATGCAGGCTCCTTTTCATTGCTACACTATGGTTGTGCTTTAAAACTTCTTCTCACGATGCATGCCAAGGACTCACTGCAAATAGTGTAATCGTTGTGTGCCCAATATGTCAACAGTTATCAACAGAACAATAAGTAATTGACTGAGTAATTGAATGACCCCTAACCAGGGGCGGACTGACAACTCATGGGGCCCCCGGGCAATAGGGGATCATGGGGCCCCTGTGTCCTTGCCCAAACTCAAAAAAGCCTATGAAAAAGGTACCAGGGGCAACTCATGGCAGACCCTGGGCCCTCGTGCAGTGCCGAGTTTCCAAATGGTCAGTCCGCCCCTGCCCCTAACCATATATTGTCTAAATGTACAGAACCTGCAAAATAAAAAATAGTGAGTTTGATTTTTTATTTCCCATGATAGTTTCAGAAATGTTTTTTTAAAACTAGATTCTCAAGAAAATTATACTAAAATCACTATTTGCGCACATGAATACAAAATATCTTCCAAAATTCATACTAAATTTAAAACAGCATTGAGTTAATAAAAAGCTAAAAATCTTGGGGCTGGCTTCATGCCTATACTTTATCGCAATTCACAACGCCACCCCAACGAAACTTGTCAGCATAACTTAATGCCTGCATTTCAGTGCTGCACTGAAAAAAAGGTTAATGTCTGGTTTTTCATACATTGTGGTGTGCTGGTCAATTCCAAAAGAATATTCCAAAAAAAAAACTCACGTCAAAGAGACACTGTCCCTGCCCATTCACAGCAAAGTGAAAAGCCCCCCCAATGATATACACTTTTTCAGTGATTGCCCACTGCTGCTATCTTCATTGCAGCAATAACTGAAAAACCCAATGTTGGAGTTTGAGCAGTTGTCATTATTATTATTATTATACAGGATTTATATAGCGCCAACAGTCTGCTCAGCGCTTTACAATATAACATACATTGTCATCAACACTGTTATTTTCCCCTAAGCTCCATGCACACGGGGCGTTTTAATAACGCTGGTAATGTTAGCTGTGTAAATTCACGTTAAAAGCGTTTAGCCACGTTTTTAGCGTTTGTGGTTTTTAGCGTGTTCTAGCGGGCGTTTTTTTTTTACCAAAAATGCTGGTTTGCCGCGATTTACCATGTTTTACCACATTTCGCTGTATTTTTCAGTGTTAAAGCGTTTTTACAGCTAAAAAACTCCTCTAGAAACCCACTAGTTCTGGGGTTTTTTTCCCAGCCAAAAAACGTCCCTGCTAAAAACGTTGATTACAGTCTATGTGTGGATGGACACATAGGATAACATGCTGGGGAGTTTACTAGCTGTAGAAAAAAATGTCAACAGCCAAAAACAGCCACTGTAAAAACGTCCAGTGTGCATGAAGACTTAATGGGCCCGTCCACACTTGTGCATTGTGTGAATGTGTAGAATATTGCTTGTGATAAAAACAACTGTTTTACTGCACATGACTTCAATGTATAGCAAAACACATACCATATTGCATTGTCGTGCCATTCACAGCTAATGGCACCCCAACACACTACTATAGTAGTAAGCAATGTACTGGTACCTCGACCCATCACATCATCGATGTAGTATTGGGCCAGGGCAGCATTCAAAATGAATGGACTTCTGTGACGCACCACACCTTAATGTGTGTGGTAACGCACCACAACACAGTGCAAAATTTGTGAAGCCAGCCTAAAATTTGTGTGTGTAGGAGGGGTGGAAGTGTTTTTTCTTGTTTTTGTTTTTTTTTGTAGTACTCTCACTAGAGGACAGATTCACATGCAAAGGCAGGTCCTGTTTAAGTGACATTCGGGATGACGTTCTCAGTCTCCTTTTCTTCCAGCACTGCATTGAACTTGGAAGTGCTCATAAGTGACTTAGGATTTACTTTCAGTCTGCAGAAGATCAGTAAATTATGCGAATCATGTTTACTGATCTCCTTGCTCTCCAATGAGACTGGAAAGAAAATACAGTCAGTTCTATTGCTGGGAATGAAAACAAAGTGGCTTGTTAGCATCCATTATTAGTTAGTGGTGATGGTCTTGGGCACCAGATGGCTGTAAGTTTTAGATTGCTCAACCAACCATAAATTTAAAGCCTGTAAAAATGAAGCCCCTGTAAAGCCGGCTCCATCTTCGCAACATTGCCAAGATACGTACCTTCCTCACCCTTGACACCACCAAACTTCTAGTACACTCCCTCATCATCTCACGCCTTGACTACTGTAATTCTCTTCTCACCGGCCTACCCAAGTGCAGGCTCTCCCAGCTCCAGACCATCCTGAAGTCAGCGACTAGACTCATCACCTCACCACCCGCTCCACCTCTGCCACCCCCCTCTGCCTCTCCCTCCACTGGCTCCCGATTGCCCAACGCATCAAATTTAAACTCCTAACCCTGACCTACAAAGCCGTTCACAACACTGCCCCTGATTACCTCACCAACCTGATCCCCAAGTACCGCCCTACCCATACCCTTCGCTCCTCACAGGACCTCTTTCTATCCTGCTCCCTGGTCTCCTCCTCCCATGCACGACTGCAGGACTTCTCCAGGTCCTCCCCCATCCTCTGGAACTCACTGCCCCAATCCATCAGACTGTTGCCTTCCCTCTTCACATTCAGGCGCTCCCTCAAAACCCATCTCTTCAGGGAAGCCTACCCCACCCTCACCTAACGGCCATTCTCCCTCTTTCCTCCCACCCCTCATTCCCCTCAGCCACTTCCTACTGTACCTTTACCCCCTCCCTCCTAGATTGTAAGCTCGAAAGAGTAGGGCCCTCTTACCCCTCGTACGTTGTTTGTTGTTGTTGTACTGTGCCATGTATTGTCCCCCCTTTATTGTACAGCGCTGAGCAAACCCTTTGGCGCTATATAAACTCGTAGTAATAATAATAATAATAATAAAGCCTACTGACCTGGCGTGCTGCAAACCGTACTGCTCCTCCACCATGACTACTGCAGCAGTGGCTGTAAAAGTGGTTAAGCCACTATGAGATCTCAACATAGGTTAATCTACAAATCTCTATATGTAAATTACATTAACAACAACATGGAAGAACAAGCTTATGGACTTGTGAAAGTCATGCTTAAAATGACCAAATGACAAATACTGAAACAACAACCTTAAATAAGCACTCACTGACAATAAGTTATACTTCCCCTTTAAGATCAGCATAGAATACGTGAATAACCTACGGAACATGTTTTAAATCTTCCAAAAAGACAGCCATATCCCCAGTTATGAATTGCATACATCTTTGGTTAATCTCTTGATTTATGTGCATGGGCGGTAGAATATTAGGAGAGAAAACAATATCATAAATTAGTTCTGATGCATCATAACTCTAAAACCAAAAAAAAGGGGCCATGGTCTCTAAAAAGAATCTACAGTGTTTTGTGTTTTTACCACCATGAGTACTTGTGATGAGAATAATACAAAGTATTATTCTGATGTGGTAATTATTAAAACGGAAGTGAACCCCCAACAACGAACCGCCCTTTTCTGGTCTGTTAAAGTATATGTGAATCCTTACATATACAGTATATAAGAGGGGCAATCAAGTCAAACTGGGACGGGGCAGACTGACCATTCGAGAACTCTGGCACTGCCCGAGGGCCCGGGGTCAGTGGGAGGCCTCATGAAATGCCCCTGGTACCTTTTTTATAGGCTTTTTTTGAGTGTGGGCAAGGACACAGGGGCCCCATGATCCCCTATTGCCCGAGGGCCCCATGAGTTGTCAGTCTGCCCCTGAACTGGGACATTTAATTTTCTAGGTACAGTATAAAAAGGAATGCTAGGTGGGTACTACACGCAGCAAGCGTGTCCTATTACTGATAGGTGGCGCACATGTCACCGGCCAGTCCAGAGACCTTTACTCAAGATAGCAGACAACAGTGTTAGTGTGTACACGGAATAGCGTGTGGTGACAAAGTTTCTTGTGAATGAAGGAGCAAAACCTACGGATATCTACAGAAGATTTCAAGCACAGTATGGTGGTGAGACGCTCAGCCGCAATAAGACATTTGAATGGTGTAAACATTTCAAAAATGGTCGTACGTCCGTCAGTGACGATCCCTGCCATGGTGGTTCCCAGCCCACAGCAGTCATTCCTTTGAACATTCAACATGTGGAACGCCTGATCCTGGATAATCGACTCATGACCTGTAGTGAAATTGCACAAGAGAGGAATCTTTCTGTGGGAACGGTGAACACAATGATGACAAAGTAAAGCAAGCGGTCCTAGGATGGTTCAGGTGTACTGGTAAATCTTTCTGTGCCAAAGCTTTCCAGGCATTTGTTAAATGTTAGGATAGGTGTGTAAATGTAGTGGGGGAGTATGTTGAAAAATAAATGCAATTTCCACTTCTTGAAATTTGATCTTTTATTATATAAACTCAAATGTCCCCGTTTGACTTAAATGCCCCATATATAAAAAAAAACATTCTAAATACCTTGTTTCTATTTTTCTGTAAGTGATCACATGACCTCTGTTCTCAGCTGCATAAGTGGCTTGGAGAATTGGGGGTGTAAATTTCAGGGGTGCATATCAGCAGGAGGCAGTAAAACAGCAGTACACCAATCTTCCCAGCACAAAGTCTTGGCCTTTGGAGGACATGAAAGCTGACCATAGTGGAATGGATGTGCTTCTATGCCTAGCATGGTCAGTTTGAAATGGGAAAGCAGGGGGATTTGTAGGATCACCAGAGATTACACACAAAGGAAGCAATACAAAGAGAATAAGATACTTTTTAATATGGTACAACAAGCACATATCAGCAATATAAAAGGTTGCATAACAAACATGTAGCACCTTCCTAGTTTTGCTAAGGGGAGCTAGAGTCTTGATTGTAAGTAAGGAAGGCTAAGTAGCAACCTGGGTGTAATAGCCAGAAGGTCAAATTGTGGTCAGGAGCTGAGAGGCTCTGCAGGCCGGCCCCTCTGGAATTTCCCCCTGTTTTAGGGCTTTGGAGGAAGGCTCTAGAGGCAGTGGGTGGATCTGAGGAGTGGCTGGCTTGCACTCTTGGGGGTTCTAGCCAATCCCCAGCAGAAGGCTTGGCAAAGGGCTGGACACACCTAAAAGTGTTGGAGCCTGCTCAGCTGCAGGGAGAGTTTGGTGGAAGATAGTGAGGAAGATGTGAGGTAGAAGGCAGGAGGATGCAAGGAGGCCCAGTGGGATGCGGCCTACCTGCAGACCTGGTGTTTGAAAGGGAGTAGCTCAGAGGCTCACTGGCCCCCAGAGCAAGGACCACCTTTTTGGCAGGGAAGGAGTAGCCCAGCTAGAAAGACCTGCATGCAGCCACCAACCCATCAGCAGTAAAGGAGAGTGAGAACCCCCTGGGTGGATAGGGGAAGGAGCACTCTGGTGGGAAACCAGATTTGCCACCTTCCAGTGACTATTCATCTCTTAAAGTGATAGGAAACGGATCCCCTGTTCAGGGATACCTCCAGATTGCTGGGTGAAGAGGAGAAGTTCATCTAGGGTCTGGGGTGGTACATTGGGAGAGGTTGGCCAGCTCTTCATCAGAGACTGTGCTGCAGAGAAAGCTTGTAAATAGTTCCAGGAAGTTGTCCTCAGTTTATCAGTTTCCTTCGAAATCCTGTACACCCCTAACCTTATTCCAGTTCAATTCCCCTAAATAAAACAACCAAACCAAAGCTCAAGGACTGATTTCTGACTCTGGATGCAAGTCTTGGTGAAGATGTGTGATGCCTGGCTGTGCAGGACTATAGGGGGACTCAAATCTTCTATCGACTTCTAAGGGGTACTGCTACAAACATTTTAAGTGCTTTGTAAGCTAATGACCTAGAAGAAGTATACATATCAGATGTTCCGGGCATACAGTTCTGAATCAATAACTGTACTTGAACTAAATTCGTTGACAGAAAGGCAGCTAGCATTCCCTTAAGACCGCCATACACAGTACTCTTTTCTTTTGTTCAAACCAGAAACAAATCAGTCAGTTCCCCCATCTCAATGCTTACATTGTGGATGGAAGAATCACCACTGCTGGCTATTGTATTGAGACGCAGATACAAACATGGAACTGGACACATCAAAGCTGTACTTAATAACATTGGATTAACATGCCCTTTTGAAACTGTTCAAAGTAGTAAATCACAGTACAGATCTATATGGTATCTGCTTACCCAAGTATATGTAAACACAGTCAAAATTCCTAAACCCTGATGAAGGGGAAGTCTGGCTCCTGAAACGCATTGGATTTTTCTCCACTATCGCCCAACTTTATCATTAAAACTTTGGACTCTTGGGTGTTTGTTTGGCACTCTCATTGGACTGTATGTATGTGTGCCTATTATATTCAGGCAGCTTTGGAATTCAGTGCTTCTGATAGGCAGCAGTGACTGCCTTGTTCAGTTGATTTTTAAAGCCTCATTACATGTTTCCTGTCACTTTAAATAGTTGTTTGAGCCAATCTGGCCCATATAAACTATTTCCTTTACTAACTGATGCAGTGCTGACAACGCTGTATAAACTGTATGTAGCATTAGCATTATGGCTGCAGTACCAGAATTTCCTGTCTGCTGCCGAAACAAAATCAATTCAGGCTGAATACTGCTCAGCCATTTACAGGAAGCCTTATCAGTGAATACAACACTTTCCCTGATTGGCTGAAGTTGCAAGGTGGGTGGATAATGTCACAGTCACCACCTCAACCAATCAGTGGAAGCCTTGTATTCATTGATAAAAATAAAATACTTCTTTGGAGTGTTTGAGAAGGCCTCAGCCCGACTCAATTTTGTTTTGGGGCATGGGACAGGAAGTCCCCATAATGCGGATAGAACACAGCACTGTATACTGTATGTAGCTTATGCTCCATACAGTTTATACAGCATTGGCAGCCCCTGCATCAATTAGTGAAGGAAACAGTTTGTTTGGCTTCTCGGCCTTTTGGCTAAGATCAAGTGTAGTATCTGTTCTTATCAGTGTCCAGTGGGGGTGCTCCCGACCATTCTAGCTTTGCGGGGATGGTTGTTGTATAGTACCCTCACTGGAATGATGGGGGTCCGGAAGGCTAGTACCGGAGGGACAGAAACCGGGGAGCGCCACGAGTTAAGCTGGGGCCCCGGGAGTAATTCCTCTGGGAAGACTGGAAATACCCAGTTCCTCCTGATTTGAACAAGCTACCTTGGTCTGGCCAGGGGCTGGGAAGGCAAAAAGTCTGCAAACTCAGTGCCCCCTGGGGAGACGCGCTCAGGGGTGTCACTAGTAACACTTGGGTGTGGGACCCCACGGTGTGAAAATGACACTTGGTCACTGTTTTTACACTCCTTTTTGCACAGCGCCCTAAGGACCAGGCCTTTTGGCTAAGTCCAGGGCAATTTTTGCTACGGGCCTCAGGGCCTGGTCTGTGCACATTTCGGCACGGTACCTTTTTTTAAATTTTATTTACTTTACTTTATTTATTTATTATGCACTCCCACGTTTGTCACTTTTTTCTTTGCCTTATGTGTGTGTTTTTCACGGATGGAGGGTGTGGGTCCTCGGGCCTACCCTGAAGTCTAGGGGGAGGATGTGTGGCCATACGGTTCCTTCCTCCCCTGATCCCTAGGAGGCTCTTCTTCGGGAGAGCCTCCTTGCCTAGTACTGGATGTCCGGCTTCGGCTGGGCATAGGGAACGGTGGTCCACCAGGCCTTTTGGCCAGGAGGGCCAATTGGGAACCTTGTCCCCGTCAGGAGCTTCGTGCCCCGGGGGATCAGGGTAAGCGGTCCAAGCCCCTTTAGGGGTAGGACACAGCACACCCCTAAGTGCACTTTTTCGTGTGGTTTTTTGCACTTGCACTTTTTTTGTGAACACTTACGGGTTTTTTTTTCGTTATAGTTGCACGTTTGCGGACTTAAAAAAAAAAAAAAAAAAAAAAAAAAAAAACAGTTTGTTTGGGCCAGCTTGGTCCAGAAGAATTATTTAGAGACATGCTTTTCCTGGAGTTAGAGTTTAAGAACAACCAAAATGCCTAAGCCCTGATGAAGTCAGAGTTTGGCCCTGAAATGCGTCTTTTTTGTTTTAATGAATCAATTTTTTCAATAAAAAAGTTATGATTATGGAAAATTATTGAGTGCTCTTCAGCGGTCTTGTAGCATAATGACAGGTAAATGATGCTGTTACATAGTTATATTTCTCTGGATGATTATGCATCTCTATTTTACATCTTGTAACACTTCAATGTTTTGCATTGTAAATTGGATGGTAAATCTAATCTTGACTTTTGGATGATTTAGGACTCAAATTCTCTTATATGACTGTATTGAACTGTATGTGTGTGGCTATTGTATTCATTCAGCCTTGGAGTACAGAGGTGTTGATGGACAGTAGCTGCAACCCATAGGTTCAGTCAAGCTGATTTTTAAATTGACATTTCTGGATCCAGGCGGTACTTGCAGGGTCACCCATGGCTTGGATTCCAGCCGATTCAGCAGTAATTGCCCAAAACTGGTGCAATGCAGTGGTGCATTTAGATTTTGTGCTGCCCTTGTAAACACAGAAAATCTGCCCCCCCCCGGAAACCGCCCCCGCAGACCACCAGCCCACCCACATGCGACCCCCTCTGCACACCACGGCCTCCAGACACAACATGGGAGAGAAGGAGAGAGACAGAGAGACTCACCATCACAGCTCCGGAATCCCGGCTCCCTTCCCGAAGTCTCACGGCCACTCCCACGGCTCCCCTCAATCCCCTTTTTTGCCTGCTGCCCAGCCCCGGTGCCTCTCAGAGCCTCATCGACATGACAAAGGACAACCAGCATCCCCTCTTCCAAGGGGCAGCACCACCACCCTGAAAAATGCTGCCAAGGGCAAATGCCTTGTTTGGCTTGCAGCAAATATGCCCCTACATCTATGGGGGATATTTGAAGTGGAACTAAGCTGTATCTGTATACCAAAGAAAGAAAATGTCCATGAGAATTCCTGGGATGTATGGTATCATTTTGGCCTAGGCCAGAAACCAGGAAGCAATAGAAGAAATGTAATTAAAAAAAAAGGAAATGTAAATATACCTTCCTATCTATTTACTAATGTGAGCAGCATAAGGATTTTTTTTTTTCGCCCTATAAAAAAAAAAAAAGACCGATAATTTTGAGAAAAAAAAAACAATATTCTTGACGTTTGCTATTATTTGCTATTAAACATGTCCAGTGAAAAAATTAAAAAAATCAATTTTCGTCATAAATTTAAGCCAAAATGTATTCTGCTCCATGTCTTTGCTAACAAAAAACCCAAAACGTGTAAATTAAGTGGTTTTCGCATTTACAAATAGTGGTATAGATACTGGGATTTTTTTTTTTTTCTACTAGCAAGTGCGGCGATCAGCGATTTATAGCGGGACTGCGACGGGCATTCTGGCACTGAGGGGGGAGCTGACATGGTGTCACTGACATCACCAGTAACACCAATACAGTGATCAGTGCTAATAAAAAGCACTGACACTGTACTAATGGCACTGGGCGGTAAGGAGTTAAGATGTGGGGCAATCAAAGGGTTAAATGTGTGCTATTTTACTGGGGGCTGTGTTAGTGTTTTCAACTGTAAGCACACTGCTTTGTATGAGCCATACAAAGCAGTGTGCAGGAGCTGACAGGGGAGAGAACTGTATTGTTTACATACAGTTCTCTCCCTCCGTCGGTGATGCTTGACGATCACCGGGTACAATACCAGATCATACGATTTTTGTTTAATCAGTACAGTGTTTGTTTGAAAAAATCGGAAGAGCAAGACCACGCATGCTCAGAAACGAAAGAATACATTACAATACAACACATTACATCACGTTTGGAAGTTGTATTATGTCGTATGTGACTTTTCCCAACTTTATTAACCTCTTCATTTTCTATATAAGACTAGCTGGCAAAAAAAAAAGGAGGATCGTTTGTTCTATATTCTCATTGTGTGTACCAGACTTTAGGCTAGGTTCACACCAATGCGTTTTGCAGTGCATTTTCAGTTTTACGGAAACGCACTACAGTCCATTTAACATGATTTCCTATGGGTCTCGTTCACATCTGTGCATTTTTAAATGGTGCATTTTTTTAGAAAGGGTCAGGGACTTTTTTTGTCTGCAATAAGTTGCATTTTTGGTTCTGACAGGGGAGAGAACTGTATTGTTTACATACAGTTCTCTCCCTCCGTCGGTAATGCTCAGCGATCACCGGGTGCCTGCAAGTAATCACCGGCCAGGATCTGGTGATTGACAGCCAAGGCTGCGAATAGCCCCCTACCCTGAAATGCAAAATCACGTATATATGTGTGATTTTGCGCACCCCTGCCGCCCTGTAGCAGTATACAGGGCGGCGGGAAATCGGTTAAGGAGGGCAGCAAAGACTACCTACCTATTTCTCTCAGTATGGTCTTGTATGCCAATAACAATTAATGGTAGAATCTACAAATTGTAAGCTCATGAGCAGGAGCAACAGAACCCCCTTGTACTAAATTGTGTTGTAACCAGGGGCGGACTGACCATTGGAAACTCGGGCAGTGCCCGAGGACCCAGGGTCAGTAGGGGGCCCTATGAGATGCCCCTGGTACCTTTTTCATAGGCTTTTTTGAGTTTGGGCAAGGACACAGGGGCCCCATGATCCCCTATTGCCCGGGGGCCCCATGAGTTGTCAGTCTGCCCCTGGTTGTAACTGTTTTATAAGGCACTGCACAAATGGCGTTATACAAATCCTGTATAATACTAATAATATGAGAACGGTGATCTCGAGATAGGAAAACATTTATCAGCAATCTTAGGCCAGACATAAGTATAATTTCACAGAAAATAAAACCTCTGGTCATGAAGAGGTTAAGGCCTAGGCCTAGAGGATGTGACTGCATGTCATGGGCCTGACAACCCTAAAGCCAATTTGGTAGTAAATGAAGTTACTTACCTGCTGTTTTCTTTTCTCTGTTCAGAGACTTTGCTAATGAATTTCCCTTGCACAGAACTAATATGCATCTCCTGAAAAGATGGCAGGCTTTTGTCCTCTTTCTAACTGACAACAGAATCTGTTTTCTTTGTAAGCAGGCTCAGTTTTAATTGTTTACATCAAAATGGATGGCTACAGGAAAGAATACTTACTTGCCATGATCTTGCCATGACATGTTCCAGGGAAAGCAGCCAAGACTCTAAAGTCCAGTACAAATGATCAGAAAATCGGATGAAAAATACCACTTTTGAAGCGATTGTACGATAATCTGCCCGTTCGTACACAGTTTTCATCCAAAATTATTACAAGGAACAAATACTACATTTTTTTTTTTTCATACAATACCAGATCATACAATTTTTGTTTAACCACTTCAAATCCAGACACTTTCACCCCCTTCCGGCCCAGGCCAATTTTCAGCTTCCAGTGCTATCGCACTTTGAATGACAATTGCGCGGTCATACAACACTGTTCCCATATTAATTTTTTAAAACTTAACTTTCACCACTTAACTTTATTTTGGTGATATTTATTCACCACTGGGATTATTATTTGTGCTATATAAATGAAAAAGTCCAAACATTTTGAAAAAAAATGTTTTTCTTATGAAATTTTGCAAATAAATAATCTTTCTTCATATATCTTGGCCAAAATTATTATTATTATACAGGATTTATATAACGCCAACGGTTTTCTCAGCGCTTTACATTATAGTAGGAGACAATACAGTAACAATACAGTTTGATACAAGAGGGATTTGAGGGCCCTGCTCCTTGGAGCTTACAATCTAGGAGGGAGGGGTGAATGGTACAGTAGGTAGTCACTGTGGGGGATGGAGTGGTTGGAAGAGTAGAGGATTCCAGAATTAGTAGAGGGCGGGATAGGCTTCCCTGAAGAGAGGTTTTCAGTGATTGCCGAAAGCCAAAATGTATTCATCTATCTTTTTCTTAAAAAAAGTAACCCAAATTAGTTTATAACCAAAAATTATAATTTTTCTAAATTATTTTTACATTCTTAGCTTTTGTTTATATCATTATTTATGTTTTTTTTAACATACCGTCACCCTAGCAGTACAATGTCACCAAAGTGACACTGTACTACTTGTGGGGGGTGATGAAGGTTATATTTTTTTTTTTTTTTAACACTGATTGCTTTTACACCCATAAAGGCTGTAAAAGCAATCATTTCTCCTTCTCCCTGGATGCATTCTTGCAGCCGTTGAGAAATACTGTGAGAGCTGTGATTGGTCACAGCTTGTCACATGGTACAAGGATGTTGTGAATAGCCTTGTACCATGTGACCTCTGTGGTCATTCACAGATTTCACAAGTAGTAACCAATGATGTCAGGAAGTGACATCTTGTCAGGGGCGGACTGACAACTCATGGGTCCCCCGGGCAATAGGGGATCATGGGGCCCCTGTGTCCTTGCCCAAACAAAAAAGCCTATGAAAAAGGTACCAGGGGCATCTCATGGGGCTCCTTACTGACCCCGGGCCCTCGGGCAGTGCCGGAGTTTCCAAATGGTCAGTCTGCCCCTGCATCTTGCTTACTACTATTCATGTGATCACTGATTGGCCAATCAGTGATCACATGATCGGGACCTCACACAGAGGCCCTGTACAGCGATCGGTGTTCCGCTGTGTCCTCTGGTCCTTCAAGACCTCAAGTGACGAAACGCGTTGGGCCTGGCCTAGTGGACGTGACGTTGGAACGTTCCTCCCAGCTGTCGGCTGTGTTGATCTCAGTGCAGGAGGTTCGTCCCTTGGTTTTTTTCCCTTGTGGATGTGGCATTTTAGAGGCTGTCATTGCTGGTGTCGGCTAGACACCTTCTTTGTGAGTGCAATACTTTATTAATAAAATTTTACTGGTTTTAAACATCCTGCACCATCATATCTCTTCTTATTCCTCGAGCTTTGCCCATGTTATTGGAAGATCATTTGCTGCTTAGCTGTTCCATATGTGCTGCCTAGCTGTTCCATATGTGCAGATTGGATCACTATTGGTTGCTGTTCCTCTACTGGGATATCCTGCAGATCATTGCTCCCAGAGCAAAATGCTATCATGCTGGTTTATAATATAATCAGCATATAGCTCTGGTGAGTGTATTCATTTCATCTGGTGTCGGATTTGCACATGGGTGTTTGTTTTCAAGATTGATATTAGGTTGATATTGGACTATCACTGTTATGGTGGCTGGACTTATGTTTATATTTATGAATTCATTTATTTTTATTATTTATCCTTGCATGTTTTGTGAATAATTAGCGCACTTTTTATTTGTACACCATTTTACCTTTTTTGGTTAGAGGTGCTGCTTATTATTTGATTTATTTTGCATTTTCTGTGGCGCTTCTTGTATCTGCTACATGCTCACATATGTGTGTTTTTAAATGGTGCATTTTTTTTAGAAAGTGTCAGGGACTTTTTTCTCCGCAGTAGGTTGCATGTTTGGTTCCATAGATGAAAATGCTTGTGTTTTTGTTGCATTTCTGCTGCTTTTGCTGATTTCTCCCATGTGACAACACACACCTCCCAAAAATGCAAAATGTAAAAGGCATCAAAAACACATTAAAATATATGTCAAGAAAATGGAAAACACACCAGGAAAATGCATCAGCTGCAACCTGAGAGATGTGAACCTAGCCTATACTGCACTATACTGAAACGCAATGTAACACGTGTTTTGAATGACAACCCAATGCACCTAGCTAGCCTTTCATGCATTTTAGCATGCCGCAAAGCACAGATGTGAGCCATCTGTGCTTTGTGGTGGGTAGTGTTGTAAAAAAGACTGCAGGTCCATTAAAACCTGCGTTGTGGGTGTTGGCAGAAAATTCGAAATGTATGAGCTTCCCTCCCACATGAGCAATAACGCACTGCAAAGGTCTGAATGCGACCTAAACATTTATATTTTTTTAAAGCATTAATTTTAATATATGTAAACATGTGTGCAGGCTAGACGTTGTTATAAATGGTGCTGGTCCACATACATGTAATGTGATGGTTTGAGTTGTCTGTTTTCAATGGGACAAAGGGTCTTATTATAGGGCCCACTAACAGTGCCGGATTAAATTTTGTAGAAGCCCCTAGCCTGTTGAAACCTTGTGGCCCCCCTCGCATTGTTTTTGGAGGTTTCTCATGCATGCTCATTGAATGAAGTAGCGTGCTCATTGGCCATCATCTAAAGATGACCATCGCTAATGTACATTACACTTACGTAGGTTGCATCAAATTTTTTTTATAAACTGACAGCTGAAAGAAGATGAGCTTGTAAGTGAAAAACTGCAATGTGACCCTGATGTCTATGATTCATGTACTCTACTTGTTATTGGGTACACTGAATACAGTATTTTCTCTATATAGGCTTTAACCGCTTGCCTGCTGCCCTATAGTAGAAGTACTGCTACAGGGTGGCAGGGCTGCTCAAAATCACGTGTATATATACGTGATTTACATCTCCAGGTAGGGGGCGCTCGCGCTGCCCTACCCACGCTGCCATAGGTGGCTATGGATGTCAATCAAACACAACAAACACTTTTCTCCTGCGCTAGGAAAGGACTCAGTAGACCCAATAGGAATGTTCTGGAATATGCACTGCTTGCTGCCCTCAACAGACCGGGGTGGTCCAAATACACTAGATGCAAATGGAGAAACAGAAAGGGCGCACCGACCTAGTGCATTATCGTTTAAAATATTTATTGAAGAAACAAAGTAAGTATCATGCTTACAATAGACATAAAAACACAGGCATGTCAAACTGAACAAGATGTATGATCCAAACAACATCTGAGTCCATACGATGGAACCCTGGATGACCAACTTGCTAACACATTTCGAGGACACAACCTCTTCCTCAGAGCCAACCAATGTCAATCACCAGGTCCCAGCCAGAGATTCCCCACCGGCACCTGGCGATCGTCGGGCAAAGCTGACAGGGGAGAAACCTGTGTGTAAACCACACAGGTCTCTCTCCTGCCAGTAAGGATATGCTGCTGTGTATTTCTCTGCACAGCAGAGCGATACAAAGCAGCATGTCTCCATAGTAAAATACACACAGCACATAATGTAAAACAGCACACAGTTAACCCTTTGATCGCCCCAGATGTTAATGGCCCCAGTGCCATTAGTACAGTGTCAGTACTTTTTATTAGCACTGATCACTGTATTAGTGTCATTGGGATGTCATTGGCAGTTAGTCAGTTCCCACCCAGTGTTAAAATGCCCGCTGCAGTCCCGCTATAAGTTGCTCATCGCCGCCATTACTGGTATAACAAAAGTAAAAATAAAAATTCCAATATATACCGCCATTTGTAGATGCTATAACTTTCACGTAAACCACTTAATTTACATGTATTGGGATTTCTTTTAGCAAAGACATGTAGCAGAATACAGTTTTGCTGAAATGTATGCAGAAATTGGATTTTTTTAAAAAATTTTACTGGATATATTTTATAAAAAAAAGTAAAATATCGTTTGTTTTTTTTCAAAATCGTCGGTCTTTGTTTATAGTGCAAAAAAATTAAAAATGCACCAAAAGAAAGCTCTATTTGTGCTGAGAAAATGACATAAATTTATTTGTCAGTTAAATTAGAGCAGCACAGTATCACAAAAAATGTTATGGTCAGGAAGGGGGGAGAGTAAATCCACTGGAGGGCAAGTGGTTAATGTAAAGTTTTTGTTTGAGTTGATTTTTTTTTTTCTATCTTTTGTAAACAATTTATGAAAGCTTCATTGTAATTTTCTTTTTATGATCAAATCAATATTATTTTAATCCTTTGTCATGGGGCCCATAGGCTGGTGCCCACTCTGCCTATTTGATGATCTGGCACTGCCTATTAATGACAGTGACAAAGCATGAATACATAAAAATGCACACAGAAAGGTAAGAATCCAACCTTAGGACCTATTTGCACTTGCATTTTGCTGTATGAAAATGCATTACAAATAGTTGTGGTAATACACAGTATTATGCATATATTACTGCACATTACTAAAACATGGTAGCATATGTTTTGAACGGCATCCCAACGCACCTAGCAGTGCACATTCCTTTTAGCATGCCAAAAAGCACTGATGTGAACCATCTGTAGTTTGTGGTAGGTGATGTTGTAAAAATATGCTGCAGGTCCATTAAAACCTGTGTTGTAGGGTGTTGGCAGCAAATTAAAAATAGATGGGCTGCATACCATATAAACATACACTATATTGCCAAAAGTATTGGTCGGCCTGCCTTTACACGCACATGAACTTTAATGGCATCCCAGTCTTAGTCCGTAGGGTTCAATATTGAGTTGGCCCACCCTTTGCAGTTATAACAGCTTCAACTCTTCTGGGAAGGCTGTCCACAAGGTTTAGGAGTGTGTCTATGGGAAGGTTTGACCATTCTTCCAGAAGTGCATTTGTGATGTCAGGCACTGATGTCAGACAAGAAGGTCTGGCTTGCAGTCTCCACTCCAATTCATCTCAAAGTTGTTCTGTTGGGTTGAGGTTAGGACTCTGTGCCGGTCAGTCAAGTTCCTCCACCCCAAACTCACTCATCCATGTCTTTATGGACCTTGCTTTGTGAACAGTCATTTTGTTCCTTCAGAGTTGGGAGCATAAAATTGTCTTGGTATGAAGACGCCTTAAGAGTTTCCTTCACTGGAACTAAGGGGCCAAGCCCGACCCCTGAAAAACAACCCCACACCATAATCCCTCCTCCACCAAATTTTACACTTGGCACAATGCAGTCAGGCAAGTACCCTTCTCCTGGCAACCACCAAACTCAGACACACCCATCAGATTGCTAGACAGAGAAGCGTGATTCGTCACTCCAGAGAACACATGTCCACTGCTCTAGAGTCCAGTGGTGGCGTGTTTTACACCACTGTATCCAAGGCTTTGCATTGCACTTGCTGATGTAAGGCTTGGATGCAGCTGCTCAGCCATGGGAACCCATTCCATGAAGCTCTCTATGCACTGTTGTTGTGCTAATCTAAAGGCCACACAAAGTTTGGAGGTCTTTAGCTATTGACTCTGCAGACATTTGGTGACTTCTGTGCGCTTCAGCATGCGCTGACCCCGCTCTTTCAGGGTCAGTGTACCACGCTTGAATTCACTGAGTTCCTGAGAGCGACCCATTCTTTTACAAATGTTTGTAGAAGCAGTCTGCATGCCTAGGTACTTGATTTTATACACCTGTGGCCATGGAGGTGATTGGAACACCTGAATCCAATGATTTGGAGGGCTGGCCCAGTATTTTTGGCAATATAGTGTATGTCCACAGGCTGGTGTTAGTCATTGTTTTAAATGGTGCTGGTTCACACATGTGATGCGAAGATTAAGACTACATTCACATGGGAGTGTGTGTGCAGATAGTTTGCTACATTCAGAGGAGGCTAACCACCACTTCTGCATGCAGCAACACTCTGTGCTCTGACCACATACAGATTGGTCAATTACCTGTGGCCAGTTTATGTGCGCCCAAAACTTGGCAAAAACACAGACTTTGGATGCACACTGGTTGTGTTCAGGGTCAGTATTCGACTGTAATTGCTCAGATGAGAAGTTACATGTGAACAGCAGCAGCGCCTACCATTATTTTGTCCAGAGTAAAAATC